GCGGAACCGGATCGAGGAAGAACCGGAGCCAGAGCAAGCGCCGCCAGCGGGATATAGAGATGGAACAGGACCGCCCGATTGGACCAGAAACCAGAACCGATGTGCGTGGCTGGATGATGGCCTTCGGCGGAATCCCTCCATGGCTAGCAGCAGAGAATCCAGGTTTACCCGCCCTCCACACACCGGAGCTTCCAGCGCGGAGTCGGAATCAGGGAGTGAGGAGAGGACTGGTCAGACCGGAACCCTGTGCGCTCTGCAGTGTCGCAGTGGCCGGAAAGGTGGGGTGATGGGGCCGTCGTGACGGAGGAGGATAAAAGGCAAGTCAATGAACATGACCGTGAGCCAGCAGCGCAGGAACTGCTGGATGCGGAGCACTGGGAAGCAACGTGCGGGTGAGAAGCCGCGGAAGTTCAAAAGGTGAGGAAACTGAACTTGACAGAGAAGAACTGAGTCCGACTATCAAGCCGAACTGAAGTTTTGGACAACTTTACCTGGAATGTGCAAATACCCTGTTACAAAATCGAATCGCTGTGTACCGCGCCTCACCCTCAACCAGCCAAAATTCGAGACCAGCAGTAAAGGAGCAATTCGGAACCAAGGAATATTGCGCCGTTGTCGTTGTAACTTATGGATAGTGAATGGATGGCAAAGTCGAAGCTGTAGGTTGATTGAATATTCGAAGTCAATGAATGCTGCACCATTTTATGTACCCCTGCACCGGAGCCGACGGCGTGTGTAAAGTGCCACGATGTTTCATTCTTATCCTATGGAAGAACCCGCGCAAATATGACGTCACACTTCATCCGTTTGTTACTGGTCTTGCTCGTGATCCAAGAACTGGCTGGGCTCCTGCTCAAACGGAAACCCATAAAATGTTTCACGAAATTCCTCACCCTAATGATTGGGGCGGCCCCAGTGGAAGAGCGAGAGACAGAGAGAGATTCTTCTTTGGAGATGGTGGATGATGACGCCGGTGGCGCGTCAGGGAACCACAACGAAAAAATTGCTGAGCCTGCCACGTGGGCGCCAGCTCACCGATAGACAATCGGCGCAGCTGTGGGAACGGCTCGGCTTTACCAGGCAGTTCGTCGAGGAACCGACCCCTCGAACCTGCTCTTGCTGCCGTCCACAGAAGCTTTGAGTCGAACAACCGCGATGTTCACTGGGTGATCTAGCCGTTGAGACATATATCCAGATCGACGAGGTGTACGGCCACTGTGCGCAGTGATGAGCAAGCTCTACACTTATTGGAGCCGGAACAGGAAGAAGGAGCAGCCGTCGGAGCCACCAAAGCAGCGGCAGAGAAAAAGAAAAGAACCTGGAAGTGGCTTCCAGATGACTGGGCACCCAAGATGCCGCGAATGACCAGCAGTCGATCGGGAACAGATGAGGACAACCCCAGCGCTAGATGGGCCAGGAGACTCTTCAGGGATCCCTTCCGAGCGCTGAGGTAGGAGATGCCCTGGAACTCTTACAGCAAGCCTTGATGGAGATCAACCATGCAGAACCGCCAGCAGCTTTGCTTTGCTCAAGCTCCGGTTGATGCTATCACGAAGGAAGAGACACCCGAGCAGGAGATGAACAAGAATCCAGATGCACACAAGAGGAACCGGAGTCTGAGCAATCCATTCTTCAATACAGCGGATACGTGCCAGGCTACGTTGACTGTTTTCCTAGAGCGGACTTGCCTGCGGAAGCAAGGTCTACAGATTTCATCATCCGCCAACGCTGGAGAACCTGCTCACCCCGAATGACAGACATCATTGGCTGCAATGGGTCCCGGGAGTGTGGAACCCACTACGCTCAACATCGGCGCGAGAAGAATGGGAACCTCATCTTCAGTCAATGTGCGCCATGTTGGCGCGTGAATACAGAGCCAGGGAATCAGTGAGCCAGGGTGAAAATACGGGGAACACGACAACTACAACACAACAAGACACAGTGACACCGAGTGGACAGGAACCGCGACCTTTTGGATGGGTGACGGCGTGTGGTGATCTTCCCCCATGGCTGGCGGCTGCGCTCCCGGAATTCCCACGAACACACTTCCCCCCGGGTTATGAGGAGACAAGTACAGGTTCAGGACACAGCTCAGGCGGCAGCCGGAATCGTGGTTCCAGAGATCGTTGCTGGGGAATGGGAATTGAGACACTGCCCTTACCCATGGGAGAGGAGTTGGGACATGCTAGCACGTGGGATAACGGAGAACCGATGACAGCTACGGATGTACTCCAGCTACAAAACATGAAAGTGAAACGCGTGATCAAGAATGGCTCCATTGAGAACACCACGCATCCTTACGCACCATGGATGTGGAGGAAATCGGCCCATCGATCGCCCCGCCAGAAACAACCATGCCAGTGGAGGCCACAGGTGGACGGAACCCACGCGATCAACCAAATGGAGCTGGTGCCGGGAATTGAGCCAAGTGATGTCTCAGAACCGCATGGTGACCCACCTGCAGCACTCCGAAGATTTGGAGATCGTCCTGATCCCGAAGGTATTGTTCACAACGCCAACTGAAGCCGTGCCACGAGCGCTACTGAACTATGTAAAGAACCTGATGACTTGTACCTTCATGCCGATGTGAGCCAATGTAGAGATTTCGAAGGATGGTTGTGATCTTTTCACCAACCTGCAGAACTGTGAAACTTGCAGTTTCCAAATGAACAATTCGAGTACCCTGCCATCGGAACCAGTGGTGTTTTATCCCTCCACGATGAATGTTATTTGTTGCCTACCGTGTTACCACCCTGTTTCAAGACCAAGGCAGGAGGACCAGGGATGTAGATGCACCCAGGTTCCTAAACATCAGAATGTCCAAATGAACAACTCGAGAACCCTGCCATTGGAACTGCTGGTGATTCATTCTTACTCGATATTTTGCCTTGTTTTCTACTGTTGTTTGTCATCAACCACATAACCATCCTCGTTCAGAGCCAGGGCAGGAAGATCAGGATGTGATTACGCCCAGGGTCCTAATAGGAACCATTACCTCCGGAACCGATGTAAATCCTTCTGTAAATACATTGTTTAGACTTTTGTTTGCTATGTCTTACCAGTACACTATGACAATACGGCTGGGAGACCACCGCTTCACATGACACCACGAGATGAGACTACGATGGGGGGAGCCAGAGGTATTACCACGACCGGAAATATTTTACAGTGACAGGCTCTAATTTTACAACGATTTCTGAGCCTCTTCTCCACAATAGATCACAATAGGGCAAGCTGTATATTTGGTGCTATTGGCCCTGAAACACACCGAAAACATGGTTCCCAAGCCTGTTCGCATCAGAAACAAGGCCCCGGGGCTTGTTGCAGAAGAGTTTGGCGGGAGCCGCATTGTTGGGCCGTTTAAGGCCTAATAGGGCCAAAAATACGGCTCGAGCAAGGCTTGGGAACATTCTTGGTTCGTTTAAGGCCTAATAGGGCCAAAAATACGGCTCCCGTCAATCTCGTGGCGCCCTTTTATGGCACCACAAACCAGGCCCAGAAAGACGTTTTTTTGGTGTCCAGAAGCAAGGCATGAAATCCTGCGGGAGCCGCAATTTTGGTCCGTTTAGGGCCTAATAAGGCCAAAAATACGGTTCCCGTCAATCTCGTGGCGCCCTTATGGCACCACAAACCGCCCGAGAGAGACGTTTTTTTGGTGTCCAGGAGCAAGGCATGGATCCTGCGGGAGCCGCATTTTTGGTCCGTTTGGGGCCCCGTCAATTTCGTGGCGCCTTAGTAGCACCACAAACCAGGCCCCAGAGAGACTTTTTTTTGGTGTCCAGAAGCAATGCATGGGATGCTGCAGGAGCATTTTTAGTCCGTTCAAGGCGTAATAGGGCCAAAAATACGGCTCCCGTCGGCGTTTAGGCCTTAAATGGACCAAAAAGACGGCTCCCGCGGGGAGCCGCATTTTTGGTCTTATTAGGGCTTAAAGACGGCTTCCGCGGGTTTTGTGTCCTATTAGGCCTTAAATGGGCCAAAAAGACGGCTCCCGCGGGAGCTGCATCTTTGGCTTTATTAGGTTTAAATGGACCAAAAATGCGGCTCCTGCGGGAGCCGCATTTTTGGACCTATTAGGGCTTAAATGGACCAAAAAACGGCTCCCACGGGAGCCGCATCTTTGGTCCTATTCATCCTTAAAAGGGCCAAAAATGCGGCGTTCGTGGGAGCCCCATTTTTGGTCCCATTAGGGCAAAAAGGGACCAAAAAGACGGCTATCGCGGGAGCCGCATTTCTGGTCCTATTAGGGCTTAAATGGACCAAAACGACAGCTCCCGCGGGAGCCGCATTTTTGGTCCTGTTAGGCCTTAAATGGACCAAAAACACGGCTCCCGCGGGAGCCCTGTTTTTGTTCCTATTAAGCCTTACATGGCGAAAAATACGGCTCCCAGGCCTGATGCACCGAAAACACGGCTTCGCGCATGAAGCTGCACCCCTCAGCCCGCATCATGCCTAGATTTGCGAAACCGATCATGGTAAAATGGTTATGTGTTGTGGTAAACAGAGTGCCTTTCTAATCGTGGTTATACCCCCTCCTCACGATGGGGGGGCCAAGGAGGACACGTGGCTGAACTTTAGCTCCCTGCGCACAAGCAAGTGTTCATGATTGAGAGTTTGGCTTTTGCTATTCTATCAGAGTGATCAGCGGCTCCATATGTGCCGTGTAAGACTGCTTGACCACTGGGTGCCGTCATGTCGTCATTGATCCGCGACAGCAGTCCTGCAAAATGCGTGTAGGCCCATGCTGTGGGTTCATAGAACTCGCGTGCCCTGTTACACGTGGTGCCACTACATCCTGTTCCAACTATTCGAGTTTGAACCCAACGGAATGAAGTGTTGCAGCTCAATCGTGTGAGTGGATTCAGGGGAACACATGTGACATGAAAAGCAAAGGAGGTTTCGTGATGCAGAGTGCTGGGAGGGCTTGCGGGGGATGAGTTCAAGATCAATATTCCCAAGCGTGGCAAATGTGGCCCTTTTTGAATTCTTTGCCTGGCAAGGGCCAATCTTGCGAAACCTTTTGGAGAACCCTGGATGGCAACATGGCTGGCAAACTGGTGAGCGACATGTTTGCGTGTTGAGATGAGCCCTCTGCATAAATGGCCGCCCGAGGTATACGGCTTACACGCCGTACCAGGCTGAAATCTCGCAAGGGCGACTCGAATCTTTGGTTCGAAGCCCAGCTTTTGCAATTGTCGCGCTGATGCATGAGGATAGGTTCATCCGTGTTTGGGTAGTCACGATTTCCAACAGCCGTGAACCGGGGGAACAGGTGTGAAGCTTTCCAAGGTTGAGGCATGGGCCCCTAGCATGGGCCTTTATTCCTGGGGTACTTATATAACTGATCTATACCCCATAGAAGCCCTAGAAGCCCAGTTCAGGGCTCATAGTTAGGATGCAGGAAAGAGGTAGTGGCCCATGGTGGGGGCCCATGGTTAGGACCTTAGATCCTGAGGGACAGTGCCTGCCGGCATGGATCGTTTTGTGTTCTAGGAAGACATCACTGTTGAGCTTGCCCCAGGCTATCTCAAGAACATGAGAATGAAGAGCAAACCCGATTGTGCAGGTCAACTTCCAAACGCTAGTCTGCGAGCTCACCGGCACCAGAGCTGCAAATTTCAATCAGTCAAATTTAGGGGATAGAAGAAACCCTGCCTTCCGTCTCCTGCTTTCGCCGTCTATGGTTTTGTTGTAGAAGCGACGCCTGGAGCCCGAAACATCCCGAAACTGTACATCCCGTTGAGGCATGGAGGTGGCGAATGCATCCCTCCTTGACGAAGGATCTGACAGTTATTGGCCTGATGCTGGTAGCTACATCCCAACGACGTGTCGCAGTCACTGGAGCTTTTGCACCTCCACTATACGTGAAGCGCTGACAAATCATGGATCAAGATTGTGATTTGTTTTAGTGACGCACCTCCCTGCCTTTGCCCTTCGATTCCAACACCTTTCGGTTTTGACGTTACCAGGGTTCCGGTGCTTTTCCAATGGGAAACTCTAGCTACAATCAAGAGCCATCCAATAATTGCCATTCATTTAGCGGCGAGGAACTGCAGCAGCGGAAGCCATGGCCATGAGACTTTGGCTGCAGGGTGCTGAAATTTGCGAGTGAAACTGCTGCTGGCTTTTTCTCACCGGCCCCGTGACACCAGGTGGTGTACGTGTGCTTACGGATCAGAACGACTGATGAACAGTTTGTTGGGCTCGTGAGTTGGCATTGGTTGAGGCGGTTGACCCCATCCTTGCGGGATGTCATAGCAAAATCTCATAGAGGACTTGGACTTGCAGCTAGTTTTAAGATGTCCAGGTTTCTCATTCGGAAAAAACATTTCCAGGCTCAGCGAAGATACTTTTGAAGGGACGCAGGATGCGGGATGTTGCATAGCTCAGGTTGTTCAAATGCTGGCCTAACTTCCACAGCCATGTCACCCCTTGAATCCTTGATCGCTTTGGAAGTCTTCGACCGGTCAGACGAGGATTGCCCGGGCCGTGAACTCCAAGTCCAAGAATCAGCTTCGCGGCTTGAGCGTAGCCAGCACCCGCGCGCACCCGCGCAGTTCAAAATGTCAGTTGCCACGAGGTTCTTCATCAGCGAAGCAGTGCATCCTCAGACGATCGACTGTCTGAAAACACGGGCGCACTATTTTGGTATGGCCCGGCACTTACACAATGTTCCGGGGGAATAGAGACCTAACTGAGCCCTGACTGTTACGACAGTGGGGCCAGGAGCTGGTGATCGGCGACCATTCCAAGACAGACTTCGCCTCCATGGACAAGCTCTTCGGGGCCTTGGTCCAGCCACTTGACACAACAGCTCCTGGTAATGTGACTCCAATGCTGCCGCCTTTCAGCCAGGTATCCGGACACCAAGGGCCGTTTCGATGATTATTCCGGCATTGCCCAGGATGGGCTGGATGGGCTGAGGGCTGTCAGAGGTCGCGTAGTCGTGAGATGTCGTGAGTTGGGTAGGGTCAGACGAGCAACCTGGGCCAAGGAAGTCGGTGTGCGTATGATGTTGTGTGGCTTGTTGCTGATTGAGAGGCCAAGAGTGCAAAAAATGCATAGGAAGGGAGCTTTCCAACATCCAGGACTGGCGATGGTTTTAGGGAGAGTTGCAGCAGGTGTAAGATGGTCCAATCATGTGCCAGCTGTTCCGCAGGCCCTTCACAAGAATGGCGCCTACCTTACCGTCGCTGCCGACCCGCTGCCTGGCACAAGTTTGGAGCTGAACCATGTCACGCTCAGAATGACGAGCGACAGTGCAGATCCTGCAGCTGCAGGCTTTCACCCAAGTCCACGCAACTGCACAGTAAGATGAAGCTTCCTCTCCGTCTTTCCACTCTGCCTGAAGCCGTGGTTGTCCAGTCGCTGTGTGACGAGGGTTCCAGCATGAGGCTCTCCCTGGTTGTGGCCAAGCCTCCCAGACCCTGGGATGGCAATTGGCACGAAGAGTACCTGTACCAAAATCCAGCACCTATCTTAAGAAAAACGTCAACATCCTGGATTAAAGTGTAGGGCAGCGAGATAAGAATGTTGCCAGATGGAAGAGCAAACAAGCACGATGATCTTTCAACAAATGAAGCGGTCTCATCTCTTGTTGATGTATGAGTCCATGGGATGCAGGTATCTAGTGCAAAAGAAAGCAAGCTCAGTCTACTAAAGCTCGTGGTGTGACCATTCGTGTTTCACAAGACTTTCTCCTGCAAGTCAAGCGTTTGCGGACTAAGCCGGCTTGTTTTTCATGGTGGGTTGCAGTACCCTTGAGATCCCTTGGGTATCTTCAGTTGCAGAGAAAACTTCTTGTTGTGGCATGTTGTGGCGATGTTGTTGAATGCTGGCGGTTTTGTAGCATAGGCGAGTTCGGTGCCGACGTGGTTGTGGGCTCCATGCAGCGCTTTGGCTCCCGGGCCGCATCTCTTGGGGACCATGACAAATGCATGCAAATGCACGTAGCTGCTCTCGTGCGAGGCGTGCCCATGTGGTTCGGCGGACCCTCCGCTGCATACCTGGCCACGTCCAAGAAGCAGGCGGCACCTGGAAACGGCCAAATACAGCCAAGTCAACGCCTATGCCTTTCTGCTTGTTTTGTTGCAAGTCGCGGTGAACCTTTGCCAGGTCAGGCGAATGCCAGGTCGGATCATTGGGGAGCAGCCCGGTTGGTCAACATAGTTCCCCGATGCCCGCAATGTCATGTTCAGTAGATGATGGACACGCCTGACCCGAGTCGAATCCATCCTGGTAGCCACGGAAGCTGAGGTCGGTGGACAGACTCGGAAACCCAGCCTACCGACTGACACTGCAGACGCGCGAGCAGCACATCCGCTTAGATAAGGCGAGGCCGTTCATGCGGACAGGATTCAACTTGTCCCATAGGCAGCAAGCGCAGACATGTTGCAAGATTGTGGGGCTATCGCTGCGCAGTAAAGAGCACGGCGCATACGCTCAAACATCAGCCCGTGCTCGTTTCAAAGGCGACGTCAAACGTGTGCACTGCGCAAGTGCTGCTGGCTAACATCGCCTCAATGTACTCTGTGTGTCTTGGCTTGATGTTCAGTTTGCATCAGGGCAGGGCCAGAAGTTGGTTCTGGAAATGCCTTTTCTGTGCCAGGTTCGGGTCTGGTGAAGGTTTGCATAGTTTGGGGAGTGAGATTTGCTCTGTTTCTTGTCAAAAAAAGCAAAGCGCAAACCCTCACTTAGTAGCCTTAAAATGTAAAGTGCAAGCCTCCTAGAAACCCATTGCAAACTTCACTGAATCTCTGTGATGAAAGCAGACGAACTCTTGCACTCTCCCGCTGGTGGCCGCCACGGCAGCAATCTGGACTCTTCAGCAAGTGCGTGCAAAGTGGCCACTAGCTGAGGGGGAAAGGGATCCCGGACACACTGAGCATGTATCCAGTGAACACCCGCAGTGAGCCAGGTATCATCGCAAGGATGGGCTCCAGCGCATTGCCAAGAAGGTCCGGAAAAGTAGTTCCGAATACACCTCCAATGCCTCACCTCGGTCTCGATCATGCATAGTCATACAAGCAGATTCTGAATGCTGACGTCTGACGGAGCAGAGCCTAAGGCTGTGCTAGAGGCTGTGCAGTCTAGTTCCTCGCGAACCACTTGCATTTTTTCTTCCATAAGAGCATGCAGTTGTTCCACACAAAGCCTGCCTTGCAGAAGCCATTCTAAACCCGACAATTTCAAACCCCAAGCAACACCCGAAGGTTCACGGACTGGCGCAGCTGTTTGCCAGTGAGGCCTGCCATATTTTCGTGCTACCTACTGGTTCCACTCGGCAATCGATGGAATTCTTCAGCCTGCTTTAACGTTGGGGTGCGTGCCACATGTCAAGACGAAAGTGATCCTCCAACCACTTCCCATTGTTTCGCTTCGGGGATCCTCAACAGCCGCACGCCCAGGCAGGCAAAGCTGGCATGGCAGTTGGCACCGGTGCTTTCTTCGATACTGTCACAGTCGACACCGGGCCCCTGGATTCCACTCATGGCTTCTGAAGGTATGTATGGAACAGATTTGCATTTATCCCTGCTTGTGCTGGACGGCTTTCAGAAGCGAATTGCATGCGGTAACTTCACGAGGAGCTCTAGGATTCGAGTTTCCCAACGATCCCCTTGTCTTCCAAAGGAAAAGGGAGCCTTGCTGGTTTTACCACAAAAAGTAGCCTAAGCTGATGCCGAGTCAGCTGTAATAAGGAAATCTGCCAAAGCCGTGGTGGAGGCGCTTCAGGCTCGGAGATCTCTGACAACGCATCCACTGCGTGTTCGCACCTTGCAAACCCACAGTTGACGCACAATTAAGAGAACTTTAAGCTTGAGCCACCTGCTACACCTCTTGGAAGCTGTGCACACTGCCAAGACGATCTCAAAAGGCATGGTTTTTGCCGATTCTAGTGGTGTCTGATGACGGCCCAGCAAAGACTTGTGAAGTGCATCTTGGCTTGACGAATCAGGCTAAGCAGATGAACATGCGGGTTCTCGACGACACGACCGTGTCCGTTGCCTTCGATGAAACGCACCTGCAGGTGGATCTGGGTGACCAAGTGCTTGCATACCTGCCTTTGGCAGTCAAAGCGGGTTCAGCGCAATTCTTCATGAGATTTCATGAGTCTTTGATGGCTTTCAGGAGGATGTCCACGCATTGATTGCCGCGCTGAAGGAAGCCGGCGTCGGCCGCCGGGAAGCAGAGACGCAGTTTCTGAGAGGATTCAACAAACTCCTTAAACAGAGCCAAAGCTGAAGCATGCTGCTGAAGCATGCTGCAGCACTTAAGCAACAGAAGCAACATGTGTCATTCCGTGGCTAATCGCCTCTTCGAGACCAGCTTGGCTAATCATGTCACTCAGGTGGCTCTAGTCCGACTGCTGCGGCCAGCATGGCGGTCAACGGTGAGAAGCTGGGTTGGACAAGAAAACCCCTCCAAGGTTGAAAGAAGCACACAGAATCAAAGCCCCTTTGCAGAACGCTGGAAACATTGCTCCGCAAGGATCGATAACAGCTTCGCTCGCAAGGGACCTTTCCTTGCACCTTGGCGGCACGCTTAGAGGAGGCCTCGGAAGAAGGCTCCACAGCTGCAGCTGTCACCTCACAAAACCACCAAGCCTCCTTATCCCGGAGTCTAAGGAACAGAAGATTTTCAACTCGCGCCTTGAGCAGCCATAATCGGGTTCAGATCAGTTCGTAGCGGCAGGGGTCAGGGACAAGACGCGTCTCGAACAGAAGTTGTGGTCCCTTTAATGGGACTTGCATAACGCAAAACACCGCCAGAGTAATACCTTGGCCGCTTGCTGAAGGGCATAAGAAATTTGACACATTCGGAGTCCCGGAGTGACGAGGTTTGTTCCTCTTAGCATCCGTTTTGGCACTTGACTTGTGGCGCGGTAGTGCGGGTCTGTGTCTACCAAGGATTTCATCTGAGACCGAGCTAATGCGCTACATGATGACTCTGCAAAAGAAGGCGCGATTTGGAGGTGAGACTTTAAGAGGGCAATCGTGCTACATTGTGCAGATGCCATAGGACCCCAATGTATGGCGCTTCTGTCATGACCACATACACATGGCATGAAATAGAGACGCCAACCAAATATTAGATGCAAATTCGGAACGCGTTTTGTTTCGAAAAATGCTCGGCAACTATGGAGGTTCTGAAGGCATTGGAGTGACGTGTGGACTTGAGGCCATCAGTCACCTGTCCTGCTTGCTTGAAACCCTCAGGACCTGGCGCTGGACACTTCCATGCCACTGGGCAGCACGGCAACTTCAACACGTAATTCCTCACCATCGTGTTGCACCATGCGCAGCTGGTGCCCAACATCCTGGCAAAACTGATGCACGTATTTAGAAGCAGCCACAACTGATGTAATGTGCCAGAAGAGCCTTTGAAAGCCTGAGGGAAAGCGCGTCTCGTAAGGATCTCCTTGGGCTCTTGCACCATGAAGCTCAACTCCGTGTCCTCCCTGGCCCCCTGCAGCTGGCCTGAGGTGCAAACTCTGTTCGAAACGGATTCAGCGCTTTTGGTTTGAAGTGCTTTGAGCAGGTGACGAACATGCACCCCTTTGCGCCTGAGAGCCAGACGGTCGCGGGCCTCAGAATTCAAGTTTCCGGTGGCCTGCGGGGCGTGAGAGGCAGTTCGCCAACATGCCAAGAGAGCGCGCCCGTCGACTTGATGTGCACATTGCGATTGCAGACATGCAAGGCCGGCTACAGGGAGATGCTGACGTCCCTGGAGCAGTACCTTATCAGCTGCACAGGCTGACGGGATCATGTTGCTGCATGCAATCGCAGGTTCAAAGCCGTGAATCCTGTTGTGAAGCCTGGCAAACCTGGCTGCAGGCTTTGATGCTTGTTCCCTGCAGCCCACCAGCGGTGCCTCCGGCGAGCTCCTCGACATTCCAGGCTCAAAAATGCTTCCCCAGCTGGGGCGGAGCCATTTTGTGATCTCAGAGGCCCAAGAGAAGTTTTTGATGTTACTGCATCTCTGCATCATGACTCCGCCTAGATCGCTCAGGTATGCTGGCTTGTTAGTGATCCGCAAGTATCTGGAGGCCAAGGGCGAAGGCACCACAGAGAATCGATCCTTTGTTCTGTGAGGTATGCCTTGTGCAGGCCTACTGCTAGGTTAGGAAGGAGAAGCATCCACATGAAGCCAGCAAGCTGCCATGGCATGAAGGCGACTGCCAAGTGCCAAGTAAATGTTGATGTTGTTCTTGATCAACTTGCTTTCGAATTGGCGTGTGCTTGGTGGTTGGCAAGGAAGCGTGGGTGCAGGTCATTTCTGCAAGTCATGTTGCATCAGGCCACCGCGACGTGTGCATCATCCCCAGGCGCTTACATGGTCGAGTTCCTGTGTTCCTAAGAACGTCGAGTTCCCAGCACTAACTTGACTGCAACTGGCGACTCGTGCCAGGTCTGCTCATGGCACGAATCCAGCATCCGCGGCAAGCTGGATGCAAGTTGGGATGTGACGTTCAGGTTTAGGCTTCATTGGCCCTTGCGTGTTAAGCGCTTCAGGACACTAGCTTAGCAGGTTTGAGAAGGTCCGCTAGCCAGTCCTCCCAGGCCATGTGCGGCATGGAGATCAAGTGGATCGAGGAGCACGGCCATTGTCCCTTAGCCAACCATACATCTCTCTCGTTCTTGTGAAGATCTTCCATGCTGGAGAACACCCCAAGTAGAGTGAGTTCTCACTTTTTCGGGCCGGACATCCAAGATTGAATAGCTTTGAGTATGGCATCTTATTCTTGCCGGGAAGGGGTGGGTGTTCACTGGATGTTAGCGCGGAATCGACAGCGGCCGTGGCATCAAATCGGACTCCAGTGGCGCATGAGTCAGCAGGATTCCCGCGGCATGGACGTCTCAGAGTTCAAGGCGCTCTGCGCGGAGTACAAGGCCTCCCTTTTCAGTAGCCTGTTTGGGAGGATTGCAGACTCAACCCCAAGATCTGGCCCCATACTTGGAAGCATCGATTGTACAACCCGGTGCTCACGCTTGAGCTCGGCCAGTCATAAGGACAGATCGTAGCAGAGAACAGTACATGGAATTCAAGCCTCCTTCAGGACCGGCTTGCCTGCCTCATGGTCACATACCCGTCTACGCGCGCCTTCTTTGAGGACAACATCCAGGACACGAAGGGGAGTTCGCAAGAGACACCTCGTCTCGGCTTTGAGGCAAAAACTGTCAATGTGAATGGAAGATGAGTTTTGCTAGCATTGGTGGCGCTTCGTCCGCGAGCTTTCTGTCTTGCGGGTAGGAACTCGTGGGTCAGTTTCAGCGATTGCAAGGGTAGAACACAACTGATCATTCTTTGCTTGACCCTAAGGCCGGTATTGTCTTTGGACCGCTTGCTCCCAGAATCCGAGTGATGCTCGAGTGGAGGCCAATGGATCCGGTGAGTTCCCTTTCTGGATAAACCCGAGGAGGATAGCAGCGCGGCGATCGCCGCTCCTATGGTTGTGGTTGCTCCGGAGGAAAAGGCTCTTGCAGGCTCTTGCTGTGCTGCGACGCAGGCTGTCCACAGCCCATTCGAGATTAAGATCCCCGGGTCCGTTCAGAAGACGATCGACCATCGACCCACAGGACACTGAGAGTGGAGCTGGCTTTGGCTTGCTCCTCATGTTGGACAGTCGAGACGACAGGCTGATCAGCCGATTCTTGGCTGCCCGACAAGATCATGTGCAGCGCGGCTTCCTCGACCAATGTCCTCGCCGAGCTCCACGAGGTGATGCCAGCCAGCTTGGGCTACAATGTGACCTTCGTCGCTAACTATGCGCCCGCTGGGGTCAGCGCAGTGTCGGCTATCGCATTCCGGGAGCTGCCAACGCGCAGTGAGATGCTGCGACACCAGAAGGATGCAAAAGGGAAGGGCCGGTCATGAGGGCCGCCTCCCGCCTACGTTGATGTGAAGTTTCTCAGCACGAACGACCGAAGCCATCGTCGGGTAGCGACATGAGTGTCCAGCAGCCGTTCTGCGACGAGACTTTGATGAAGGACGCCAAGACAGATTGGCTCAGGCCATCAATGGTGGTTGCCGTCTTCATCGGCTTGAAGTAGTTCGAGGTGGGTAGCAGATCAGCCAGCAGATCATATTCCGTTGGGCCGCGCAGTACTGTGGTGGCAGGTGCTCATTGTGCTTGGGATACCGAAAGGACGCGGATGGAGTCGAGATCCGCTTTTGTGATTCCAACAATAGAGTCTCTCCGTGAGCCACATCTCCTGGCCGGTTTTAAGCCAAACAAGCCTGCCGCAATCAGCGTGCTTGTGCGGAAGGACCTGATCACGTCCACAACTCGCAGCATTGCACTCCATTTGGTGGTGCCCGTCGATTGCGGATGACCAGCGCCAGGCTGCGTCTTCATCGCCACGTTCCCGTTCGACGGCGAGAGCAGCCGCGCCAGGATCATCAAGGCAGGGCTCGATGTTCGGGCCTTTGGGGTCTTTCGATTTGTGTTTGAACAGCACAACTTACGCAACACGTACGCAACTTAATCCGCTGTGATCACAGGAGTGCTACCAGCCGGCGAGTACATATGGGACGAGGCCCGGACGAATGCTCACCTGTTTTCGATCAGTTGCATCAAGAAGGCGGAGTCAGGGGTTGTCGGAAGATGCCCAGCAAAGGCAACGTTGAAAGTGCGCTAGTCGAAGTACCCGGAAGGAAGAAGCAGCCAAGAGGGAGGATCCTCCAAGGAAGGTATATGAGGGTCACCTGAGACAATATTAGACCGCGGAGAACAAGTGGAACCTCATTTCCTATGCTTCAGACAAGGTCCAGAATGGCTTGGATGCACGTTTTTTGTGGGGGTGGTGCTTCAAGCACAGAGCGATCGCCGGGCTCAGATCCAAAGCCTTGCCCACGCATTTACTTCTTGTACGCGTGCCATGTCCATGTAAATGCAAATGGTTGTCCCTGGACATGATTGTACATGTCCGTGTAAAGTGCTTTTTGGCTGCTAGCGTGGTGTGTAGTGGAGGGTCGAAATGGATGGCTGCTTGCCGAGCAGATGCTACAGCAACCCAACCCATGGGAGGAGGCAAGTACCAGAGTCCGTGTGCAGTGCATGCTGGTAGGATTCGCTTGCTGTGTTCAATGCAGCAGTTGAAGTGAATACTTCGCAACAGCGCGTGTGCGCATGTTAGCGCGACTTTGCAGGCTTGCTCGCGGCCATCGTTGCCTGTGCCAGATGAAGTGCGCAGCGGCTCCCCTCGTTTAGATGAACAATCCGAGCCCGTCCACCCTGTTCTGCGAGCTTTGGACCTGGTAAACGTTTGCATGCAGGATGCTGAGCTTGATCATGATTTTTACTTTGTGTTCAACCGGCTAGCCGAAAAATATCCCAATCCTCTCAGCGCCAAGGCGCTCGCTCTGCAGCACACTGGAGGCCACCGACTGTGGTTCGCTTTCCCAAGCTGACAAAGTGCTGAAGCACGTCCAAGATCTTCACTTACGACGGCTTCTTCGTGGCGTGCCGGATGGCCAGGCGATCGCCCTCCGCTCTTTCTTTCGTGTCTTTCTTCGGCGCGGCATGACCGCGGGCTACATGCTGCGACCAGCACAGACGTGCTCTTGGGCTGCGTGAATTGTTGGTGACATCTCGCAGTCCCACCATTGAACGGCCGATCAAAAGCCGTCTGAGGCCATCTCAGTGGAAATACAGAAGCGGACCTGGTAGCAGCGCTGAAAATTTCATCAAGACCCTTGGTCGACTGCTCGCCCCATGGAGATCTGCGCGGCGAATGTGGAGGAGCCTGGAAGATGTTGAGGAGGCGGCTGAGTGTCCAAGCTCTTGGGTTTGAGAGTTCAATCCTTACTCAGGGCTTCGGGTTGTTCACGAAACCATCAGCAAAATCAACGTGGCGACCGTGGCCGTGGGGAGCTTGTAGCTCGTTCCTACACATTCCAACGTTGCCGCCGTCAAGTTCGTGCGTTCGGCTGGCGGCATTCGTCCGTTGGGGATGGGTCCTAAACGAGCGGCTGGCTTACATTCTCAGCAGTCGGCTGGCTTTCTTGATCGGCCGCTCGTTCGGGTTGGTGTCCCTGGTTTACAACAACAGCTGCCCCTTGGCAGCCATTACAGACATGCTTCGGGGTTTTGTTTCTGGTCGCGGCCTGCAACTTCTCTGGCGGCAAGTACAGGCTCAAGTACGAAGATTCGATTGAATCCGTTGATGATGCAGTGCAAAAGGTCATTGGTGGCTCGGTGTTCGTGTCAACAAGAAAAGGTTCCAATCAGACAAGATTCCGCGATCCTGGCCGTCACCTGCGACTTGAAGCACCTCCTGATCGAAATCAAGCCCGCAAGGAATGTTGAGCTCAACGATGAGGCTTGCGAGTTCCTTGCTGCTGATTGATTCCTTTCAGCGATCGCAAGCGCAGAACACAGTTAATCATTCCGTGCTTGATCATGGCCCTTTATGGCGCAAGATCCGAGCGGGTTACATTTTTTGTTACCCATCTTAGCTCTATAGATATGATTGATTGTTCAAGTATCAGTGGCATCGATCGATGTCAGGACGTGTGAAGACATTTCTTAGCTTTTTCCTGTCAGATCGATTTGTGATCGATCGATCGATCAACAGCACCGACTGTGATCTCACATCTGACGGTCACGTAAAAAAGCGATCGCGGCACTTTGCCCAGCTAGCGTCAACGAGGTGTTGCTGTCTTTGTGCAATTAAGGTGCAAATCATCAGCTGCATGGTTAGAAGCGTTGACAAGTTACAAGTATTCACAATAACCCCACTGCGAGGGGGGGTGGTAGGGTGTGATCCATGAGGACCGTTGCCTGTTATGAAGCTGCGCCCATCTGAGTACCCTTTTCGCAAAGCCCCCCTTGGATAGGACTCTTGTTCAGTGAGGCGCCCTGAGGAACCAATCAATTTTGCAGTCGGCGTAGACTCATAGCATGTCCTGCCAGACAATGAGTCTCCAACAACATGTTGCGCAGTCCCTTGTCACGTTTTTCCACGTTCCCTCCCGGCATCCGTGAATCCGCATGGGTCTGGAGGTTTTGCCCCCTGTTATATTCCATCGAAGCATAGCTGCAATTTGACAGGCACTCACAACCATCCCTAGCATCGCCTTCTGAAAAGGAGCCATGTAGCCAAGATAGCTGTCGTGCAAATGCAAGGAACAGTGCAACAAATGAAGCGCTTTTTTACCAGGGATTTGCCACGAAGACCTACCAGTCCACCATTCTCGTAGCAATCCCAGCATTCAAGCTGTCTTGCAGAGTGCAGACTAAAGAAGCCACATCGCACCCGTGCCTCCAGGAGATTTGTGCTACTGTCCACGAGAATGGCGGCCAGGTCTACATGGATGGTGCAAATATGAGCTTGGGCCCAAAATTGGAGCAGCATTTTTTCAGGCTCATTGTAATCCCTGCGTGCTGTCCGGGTAGACCTGGCTGCACACGCTGGCGCCGAGGCAGTAGGTGGGAGTTGGGGGGTTTGGGGGGTTGTATTCGGATTTGGGGGTTGTGGGGAGATTATGTCGGGTTGGGGGGTGCCCATGAAAGTTTTTTTTGGGGTGCGAGATGTCCCGCCCGTGTGGCTGAGCCCTCCAAATCCATGAAGTTTCCTGGTAAATCCTTGGTGGACACATACACCTATGGCCGACCTGGTTATAGGCCGATGATACAAACACCTAAGTCGCCAATGTGATTCTAATTGGGTGATAAGTGCCCGGTGTACTTGGTTACGTTTACCCTGAAGACTCCCTGAACCTCCAACTAGATCTCCCCAGCGAATCCCTCCCTCACCCCACCCCTTTGACAACACCCTTTATCCCAACCTCCCCACTGCCCCAGACCTGCGGGACCTAGGCTGCAATGCAAAATCACATGTCAGCCGTGCTGGGCAGTGCGGATGCAACAGAGTTGTGTTGGTGATGCTTGCTATCCTTTGGTGGGGGGGCCAGGGTGGGCCTTGGAGGCGACTTGCTGTGTTGGAGGTGCAAAAACGATCAAAACGGCTAGGCTCCGGCTGAAAAGAAGCAAGGGGGGATGGTGCCGTGGGGCTTGCGCTGGGGCCGCTGCTCTGGACGCTTCTCGGCAGGGCCGACGCAAAATTTGTAGGCAAGCCTCACGTCCTCATCTTGTCATTTTTTTTGGGGAAGAACTGCGCACTACTAGCTCATCGGTGCTGCCGCCCCTGACATCTGCATTAATGTGCGTTACATGTTACATCTGAACCATGCGCACAGCCTGCATTTATGGGATGCAGATCTGGCAGTGTGCTAGACTCCTAGACTTCTCTAGACGATAGGCAGGGCTAAGTCAGACCGATGCACCTTCTATGGCCCAAGCTGGGGAAGCTGTTAGACGACGAATACTCCGACAGGCAACGCAGCCAGTCAAGAGACATGGCCCGCTCCCTTGTGCTGACCGGTGCAGTCCTCCTCTGCACTTTTGGTGCGCTTTTCACCGCCTTTGTGCCGGCGCCGGCTGCTCAGAGCTCCCCAGTGTCTGGCCTGACTACCTCGGCTGGCTCGGTCGCTCTCAGCTCCGCCGTCCTTGTGGCACCGCAGGCCTTTGGGCTTTTTCGGGTGGCCGCAGCTTGCCGACTTCTAAACCTCTTTTGATTTCAGGCAGCCTTTGCGGATGAGGGTGCTGTGTGGATCCCAGCCCTGTCGGCCATCGGTGCAGGCTTGGCTAGGGTCTTTCGTCGGCTTGCTCGTCGCTTCCCAAGCTGTGAGGCTTTGCGATCGGGCTAGCCGCCATCGGCTCCGGTGTTGGCCAGGGCATTGCCTCCGGCCGATGCATTGATGGCATCTCCCGCCAGCCTGAGGCACGTCGATGTTTGTTTCTGGTGTGGCTTCACCAACCTAATGATCTTGCATCCCAGCGCAGGTGGCTGATGACCTGCGAGGTGTGCTTCTGCTGTCCCTGGCCTTCATGGAGTGGCTTGGATAAAATGAAGGACACAGTCGGATGTCGCGACGTTGCAAGGCTCAACCGCTGAGTTTGGCCACATTTGTGCATTTCTGCAAGCACCTAGATGTGATGTTCAAGTCTGAGAAAAGGTCTCTGACAATCTACGGCCTGGTCATTGCTCTGGTGCTCCTTTTCGCCAACCCCCTGATCAAGTGAGGGCAGAAGCCTTTGATGGCAGAAGACGGCCAGCCTTTCTAGAAAACGGTTTTCCCGTTCATTGCAGACGAGAGCTCGCGCTCAAAAAAACTGGGATGACCGTAGGCTCCAGAGTCCCGACTGAGGCTGGCCTGTGGCCGTTCCAACAAGGGCTTTGCACATTGAACCGTGGAATCTATTTCATGAGATTACTCAGATGTTGACCGTAAGCCTACAGAAGTGCTTCCCCCATAGCTCCGTGCGTATGACTCTTGCCTCAGCATGTGCTCAATTATTCTTGTTGCCACAACTCAAGAGCCTCTTTGAAGGTTTGAAGAAGCTTGCTCTGGGTATCTGAGGAATGCCCAGCTGGGACTTACCTCACCAGGCATGATTGGAGCAGATGTGTGCCTTGACCGCATTCCGGAGGGTTTCTTCGGATCCCACGTTCCCTGTAGCAACTGAATGCGCTCGGCGAGGTGCCACCTGAACCTGCACAAAACCTTCAGCATTCCTCACGGAGGTGGCGGTCCGGGTCTCGGCCCCATTTGCGCTGCTCGGCTGCGAAATACGCCTCTCACGAGCAGTTCGCAACCAATTGCAACCACAACCAATTCGAAGCAGGCCAAGAAGCACCTGGCGCCTCACCTGCCTGGCCACTGCGTCGTGAACCCGCCTACAGCGGGCTCTGACCCGGCCGGAGAGGGTTCTTTGCTTTTAGGATCTGGGGATCTGCTTGCACCGAACACAAAACAAGCTTTCCCCCCCGTACTTGTTGCTCAGGCCGGCGCAGTCTCGGCAGCCCCTTGGGGACAGGTGCGGTTTGAAGCATGATGGATGATAAAGTCTTAAGAAAGAAACATAGTCTTTCATTCCTTCTTAATATGCTGTTATCTCTAATGACACTTTGAGACCAGCTGTCCTACTTCAGCATAGCAACTTAATCTTCCTGACCACCGGCTGGCCAGACGAGGCAAGAGCTGACAAAGTGGACCTAAGAGAAGACTAACCAGCCTAAATCAGCACAAAGACGCATGCATGAAAACTTAATGAATGTTTTCGTAGGCATCTCAGACTAAAACAAAACACAAAACATGAGTACATTGGGGTATAGGTCCTGCCCGCTGTGCCAGACAGTGGGAATGGCGCAGCATGAATGCGATGAAGGTGAAAATGAAGGGTGAGGTCCCTCAAGCTGTCCCAATGAGCAGACCAATTTGGGTACGCTTTCCTGAGTGGGGAGCTTCGTTGGACGGGCAAGACTTGCAATCACTCCAAGACTTTTCAGTTGCTCGTAGTCTCGTGCGCTCGGGTTGGCGGCTGCCATTCATGCACAGGTCAAAGACCGTATAACATAACTGGAAAAAAGGTCATGAACCTGCCCTTCTTGGTGACAACACTTTAGAGTTTAGCAGAGCTTTCTATGCCGGTGAGTATGTCGTTGGGTGCACCGTGCAAGACAAACAGGCACTTGAACTTGTAGAGGGCATGGACCTTTCGAAGCTTTACGCCATCGTGGCTTTGAGGGGGCAAGCCTATTGCTTGCTTCTCAGACTGCCTGATATGGCCTAAGATGGCGCTGGGACAACGAATGCTTGTTGGGATGTCAAGTCCAGGGGAGTGGTATGCGCGTGTGCTTTTATGGCAGCCTTGTGAAATTGCTAGAACTTGACTCGAATCAAACACGAGGAAACGTTTAAGACAGGCTTGGTGCAAAACACATTTGCTAGCCACATCACAGACAGCTACCAGAGACTTGGATTCCTTTCAGATTGCCTTTAAGATCGACCTGGACTAGTAAATCTTTCCTGGGCAAGATCCACTGGTCCAAGGGAACAACATACTTTAATAAGTTGGCTTGAAGCAGGTTGAAAACACAATGGCAAAAGCAAAAACAGCGGGCGTGACCCCATTCCGGTATAAACAACAGGTTGCACAGACACACAGACTGGTGCCAGCAGGTCTCTCCTTTCCTGACTCGTGCCCTTAGCTTGCCTTAACACCTCGCAAGCTTCGGAACCAATGTCAAACCTGTCCAGGCCGGTATTGCTTGCATCCCTTGGCTACTTGGCTGACTTGCTGTTTCCAGGACATAGCAGGATAGGGTGGATGCTTCTTGAGCCCGTGCATGCAGATGTTTGGCTCCTATTCCGTCTGCTGCCCGCAAATCGGACACAGCATGCAATTTTACAACATCATGGCTTCTGCTAGCTTAAAAGTTGAAAGCTTTCCACAAAGGGCTGGGGGCATGCAGATACCTTCACACAAACACCCGGGATGAGCACAGCACGGTTTGTTCGTCATATTGGATGTTCATTACATTGAAAGGCATAGCACCACATACGCTGCAGTGCCCTGTCTTTTTTGATTGGTAGATTATGGAATCGGACTGGGATGTACATAGAGGCAGGAGTCTTGCATACATAACCGTACGAAAGGCTATACTTCTGCGTCTGCGGCCAGGGAGAGGTTCTGAAGCCACATTTTTGCTAGCTCCGGCTTCATTCCATGCTTCATGTGCAGGGCGCAAAGGTTGTGTTTCTGTTAGGCAGCCATTGGTGTGGCAGCGTAGGACTACATATTGCAAATACACCGAGGAGCCAGCGTATACGTGCTTCTTGTACGCGGAAAGCATTTACCCGTCCAACCCAGGATGTTCTGCACCATGCTGGGCAAGCAGGGTGTTCTAGACAGCGGCCGCTACTCCATCCTGAGTCTTGACAAAATCTCCAAGCAGGCATGGGCCCGCACGCAGGGCGTGCGGACAACTGCGACATTGTGTTGTAGAAGGACATGCTTGCGAAGACGTCGTTCAGACTTGGGATATTTGTTTTCGGGAAAATCTGTCATGACTTGATGGCAATCGAGGAAATTGCTGCGGAGGCTGTAGGCACAAAGGCTGCTAAAGACTCTACCAGGAGGTAATGCAGCTGCAGGTGAAACTCAAAAGGCAATGACAGAGTGCAACGCCTGTTTCAAGTCAAACCTCGAAGGATTCTGCAACTGTGTCTAAGTCATCTTCTCAGGAACGCAAACTACATGAAGTCGCGGCTGGAACCTCACTTCGACATTGCGCCCACTAACAAGAACAACAGATGTGCGCACGAGTCTGCCGGCATGCCTCGGAGATGGGAAGTGAGGGACACTGGCAGAGATGAAATTTGAGGTGACATTTTAGTACTAGCTTAACATAGCCTTCGGTTCGACATGTTCCGACGTTGCGTATAGCTTGTGGTTTCAGTGTTTAGCATTTAGACTGACTGTTAATATGCCAATCCAAGCGAACACTTTATACGCCCGCGTATGGAGTGACGGGTTGCAGGATGTTCTTCAAGCTTTAAGCACGTGATTGTGGCATGCTTTTCCTCCGTGTGCTTGTCAAGGAGACGTTTTTGCATAGACTGCAAGCTAAGGTTTATCATGGATTTTTCCGATATCCGCAAGAAGTCTGGCATTGTCGAGGAGGACATCGCTAAGCGGCTGCAGGACGGGGCCGCCTGGGAAGCCTGCGCTGCCCAAAGCCCTCTGCAAGATTTGCTTAGGACTATGGCTTCCATGCGCCAACTATGTCTTGGCCGGTGCCTCACTCGCTGATGGTGGAGCCCACAGAGTCCGAGGATGGCATGGTCTATCAAGCTCAGCGGTTGGATTGTTTTCGCGTACTCTTCGGACAGGACAAAGCCGAGCTAGATCGGTTTTGCGACGCCATGATCTCCATTCGAAAGGACTAGGGGCCCAGGGCAAGGGTAGGGCAGGATCCGCCCTGCGTGACTACTCTGAAACTGCTGTAGCTGCTGTAGTGACTTGTCTTGCCACCTGCTACACTTTTGCCACCTTGCTTTGTCTGAGCTGTGCCCACACACACCTGCGGGTTCTGTATGCAGGAGATTGCAAAGATCGAGTCTGGCGAGTGGCCGGCAGATGACAATCCCTTGAAGAATGCGCCCCACACGCAGAAGGAGGTGGGCGCGGGTCATGACAGGAGTAGGAGCCTCTGCAGCGAGCACGTGCCAGACTTCTAGCCCAATAATGTAGGCTTTTCAGGGAAAACTCTCAGCATCTGATCCTCGCAGTTGTACACAAACATCACGGGCATTATTGTGCGGTTTGCTTCCCGGTTTTCTCTGATGGAACAAACAGTCTTGCAAGCGTAGTAGGTGCAGTAGCGGAGCCAATCGCTTGGGGCAGGAGCACTGGTGACTGGTGACCTGCAACGCAGTGCATCCTTTACGTACATGATGTAGCCAAACACACATGGACCTTGGTGGACTATTGAAGTTGAAGACAGTAAAAGAACTGAGCCGCTCGAGATAGGCAGCTGACTGCAGGTTTGTGCCTCCGAATGGAATCATTGTGCCTCCTCAGCATTCAGTGAAGGACTTCTTGGAGGAATGGGACCGCACAGTTGAGCTTAGGGTTCTATGTCAACCAGCGTTTGGTGTGACTCTCGAGGCACCTTTGAAAATCAAATCGACGATCTGGCTAGCAATCCTTGCGTGAACTCTGTTCAGTCAATCAGATGCAGGAAGGGCCAGCCCAAGATTGTCGGCAATCCGAGATCCCCCTGCAGTGTTGTCTTGCTAGGGTGTATTCTTTCGCAAAGGCAAACCTGTTGGCGAAGGCGAGCCAACCTTTTCTCAACTTCACTCCCATGTTCAGTAGCTTTCCCAAAGAAAATCGCTGGAGCTGTGATTATTGTAGCCAACCAGCTAGCCTAACTTTGCATCCAGGCTACTCGCGAGAGGAGGCTGCGTTCCCCGCACCGTGGCTGCTGCAGCGAGGAGCCTTGCAGAACAGAGAGGGCTTACCCTAAATGCTACTGTTCGCTTGTTTTCTAGACTATGCGGCCCAAGCTTTGGTGAAGGCAAATACTGGCCGACTGTGGCTCGCGTCGACAACTCCCTCGGTGACCGAAAGCTCAAGCTGCGTTTGGAGGAATGAATTCCCAAACGCCTCTGCGCTTGGCCTCTCTCGCACAGTGTGACAAATGGGCTTGAACAATTTGTTCAGGACCCCTAATCTCCCTCAATGATGCAGGGGAGAGGGAAACAGAAAAAAAGCTATTTTTGCCGGGCATATGGCGATTGCTGCTTCCCACTCCTCACGATTTCTCACGGCAACTCTGCCCTCGCAAAGCAATGCGACGCAGCTGAGGATGCTCATTAGTAATTGTTTGTTTTCGTCCCCCTGCTGCTAACAAAGCAACGGATTTGTCATTGCCCGACATGTTTCGCAGATGGTTAGCAGCAAGGGGATTCGTCCAGATAGTGTTGTAGGTAACGGTGGTGGCTCGACTGCAATTTCAGCCCACCATCCAAGTAACTTTCCCAAGATTCCTGTCCTGCTTCAAAGGTTTCTGGGATCCATGTCGGACGTACCACCGCAGCAGTGGACTATTCGACATCAAGTCGAGAACTCTTGACGACGTCAGCCGGTAAAGCTGAAACTCTCGCGACACAAATGTCTAGACAAAGATTAGAATGCTTTGGTGATACCATGAATTTATTTGGCCCTGCTGGTAGCCAAGTGTGAAGAGCATACCAAATCCGGCAAAACCCCTTGACACCCTGTGTGCATTGACTATGGCAGGTGCAACGAAACCTCCAGCCGAAAGTCTTGCTCCCACTCCCAAAGAAGGCCTTGCAGTGCTCTAGATCAGTTCTGTAAGGGCAGGCAATTTTCGTCTTTCTGTAGGCAAGCAAGCCAGGACCGCTAGCAAAGCTTATTACCCCCGTAGTTTGCATGCTTGCTAAGCTGCAGAACATCAGCCGTGCAGAAGCGTCAGCCGTGGCTCAGGATCCGCGAGCGCTACTGCGGCCAAGAAGCAGCAGCCAGCTAATGAGGGCTCAGGCCAGGTGCATTTCGACCAAGCAGGCTCTAAGTGAAGTAATTTGCATTCGCCTGTGTGCTTGGGCATGCGCAACAAAAAGAAGCCTACATGATAGCGCTTTTCGTGTAAGTGAGCAGCCATCCTGAGTGTTTGGAGACGCGAACCTTTAAGCAATCTTCGAACAGGGGGTTGCCGCGATTCTACCTTACACATGAATGACATGCTTCTTACGCTCTAACTCCATGACCAGTAGCTGTTTTAACTCCCCTTCCGAAGCCAATACAAAGTGCTACTACTGTAGCACTTTCTGAGGTGTGCAGGCTTAAAGCATCCGTACGTAGTAACGCTGGCAAGCATGTTAGCTCCAGTATTACCCAGTATTACCAAAGGTAGCAGATTCGAAAGCATTACGTATCATAGCAAGATACAGAAGACAATAGCAGCACAGATGTACACATAATTGCAGTGGTAGCCATTCTCGTGGCATTACTTGACTGCCAGCAGCGTGGCACGTAGAAGCTCATCACAGAATTTTGCATTCAGGGTTTTGCGCGACTGCTCAAGCTATTCCCGAAGTGCCAAGTTTCCGTGTGCTGCATTTTGGTACCTGAAGCTTCGTACTCTTCACTCAGCAGGTCATTCCCATGAGGAATCCCACCACGGCGAGGGCAAAGAACCCGCGCCAGGCGCCTGCATTTGCTCGGGCTCTGCTTTCATGACCAAGAGGGGCTTTGCATTTTGTTGTTGACAACTAGCACCTTGGCCCGGAAGCTCTCGGCAAAGTGCACCGGAGAGTTTCTAGCTGCCTTGCTGAGACAAGTCTCCTTGCAAGCTGCTGGCAGCACTTCGCGCGTTTTGCAAAGGCGTGTCGAAAGCATTGCTCTGTTTAGCTTGTACAGGCGAGCAGCGTGACTTCTCTGGAGGCAGCTCGGCTGTTTTGCAGAGGGTTGACACCTCTCACGGCGAGTGCAGAGCGAGGTAAAGGACCGTGTGTAACTCCAATTTGTCGCTGCTATAGTCGGCTGCTGGGTCGCAGATGAGCTAAAACCCGTCTCCTTGCATCTTCGGAAACAAAGCCGTACATGCGAACATTTTGTTGCACATGCCCAAGGCTCAAGGCCTTCTTCTGAGCCCGTGCACGGCGAAACGCCGGCTGCCACAAAAGGCTCAGGTAGGGTGCTTGGAAAGAATGGGATCTTTGAATGAGAAGCCTGGGAGTTGCACTTTTGGGTTGGCAGTTCATGTTTCGTTGCCTGTGGGCCATGATATCTCTTTTCAATCTCCACATGATGGAAGTTTTAAACGTGCAGCACCAAAGCAGGTTTCCAAAACTTAGAAGCCTCCCAGAACAGGCGATGCCAAACGCAAAGGAGAAGAAGGCATCAGCTTATGACGAGGGCAGGAAGATTTTGGCTGGCTGCATGGCAAGGATGGAGCCTAGCCCTCTGCCAGACTGTGTCGGGCGGCATGGGCGGGGTGTTTTTCTTAAATGGACATCTTAATCATAATCTCTTTGCACCTCTTGCAGGTGAAGCGGACCAGCTTGCCAAGGGAAAGGGCAAAGGAAAAGGAAAAGGCATGCCACACCGGCATGGAATCTTGACTGCATCGACAAGCGCGAAGCAGGGCATGATTTTGTCTCTGATTAGCATGTTTTGTGACACTTCACGGCATGAGTCTGACGCCCTCTGTCGGACGTCGAGCGAGGCTGGTCGCATAGCCGCGGGCGTCACCACCATCACCATCACCACCACCACCATCACCATCACCGTCACCACAGGCACCATCATCGCCAGCACAGTCGCCCAGCGCTTAGACTAGCTGCTGCCTGATGACAGAAGCTCGGCAAGCCTGTACATCCGCGACTCAGATTCTGTTAGTTGCCAGAGTCCTTCTGGCCAAGCGATTGCTTTGAAAATCCAGAAATCTATAGAAATCTGCACCAGTGCCCAGATTCTCCTCTGAGAAGCCTGTCGCAGCGACGTCGCCTAAAGCGGCTGCTGCATCGCGCCGGCCTCGTGCGAAATTTGATCCGACAGAGGTGTTGTTCAGAGAAGGCTCTGAGTCTGACGTAGAGGTGAACTTTTCCGCGCAAACTTCCCTACTGGGCGTGCCCTCAGGTGCCCGGCAGTTGCGGTCGCATTCACCGCGACGGTCAGGAAGCCTACCAGGCAGTGCCTCGGCTTTGCTATGCTTTGTCAGGGAGTCAAACACATCCTTCAATGACTCTCAGGATTACTAAGCTCTTCAGGTGCTCAAGTGCCACGTGGCCACATGCTCCCACTGTACAAAGCCCCGTGCACGTGAACGCATGCCGGGAAGTCCAAGGCGATGATGACGGGGCAATGCGCCGCCTCATGGCATTGCAGGTTCCGGCCCAACCTTGATGGCAAAGAGAGCAGGTTAGGCACACCTCTCTGCAACTGAATTGGCTGTGGGGGTTTGAGATTCTTCTTTTTTGTGTTGGGGTAAAAATTGTTGAGATCTATACGGAAGCTGCGCACAATCGCTGGAGCTTTGGCACGTTCGACCTTTGAGGCCAGCACACCGGCGCGGCGGGTCGCCTCGCTCCAGCGAAAGGCGCACCTCCCCTGCTTTGTGCATCTTCGTGCCACTGTAAATGATCTACAGCAGCAGAGCCACTTTTCCAGCTTGCCTTGGCTAGCGGCTAGCTCTCCTACCAGCCCCTAACCTCGTGCATCCTCATGCTATGAATGGTTTCGAGATGTTTCAAGTCTCAAACTTCACTGCACCTTCACTGCACCTCCTCTTGCTCGCCCCAAGTTGCAAGGTCGGGTTGCTGCAGATCAGCCCAGGAGCAGGCCAACGTGACAGTGAGTATTTGAAAATCTTGGAAAATCTTTGAAAGTTGAGTTGCATAGGTTTAGGTTAGGTGTTAGGCCAGGCTTGCTGCGAGAGGGTCCGGTTGCAATCGGTCGGTGCATTAGGCTTTGCTTGCGAAGGTCAACAGGCAACCGTGCATGAGGCCACTTGGACAAGGGTTCAGGGAGATAACTGTAAACGCTATCGCGCACCCCCTCGGGCTGTTGGGGTGCACAGGAATTCCTCGCAGACCACATTTGGGTTGGGGGGCGCAGATGGGAAGGGAGGGGGAACACAACTAGACGGTCCATGCTGCAACTGAAGGCTGATGATAGGAAAACCAAGAACCCCCTATCACAACCAGCCATGTCATGTACAGCAGGATTTCAGGATCGGATTTGTAGTTCGAGGGCAGCAAACTTAAATTCCAGGACAACTGAGTTGTATTCCGGACCATTGCTCGCCAGAATACCAAGAAGTTGAAAGGCATCACCTGTAACATTAACATCCTCGAATCCCTTCACTGTGTGTGGAACCAGAGCTGGTCAAATCAGAATGTGCGGTTATGTCTACTCTGAAAGTTCAGGGCATGTCCAGTCATAATGCTTAGCTATGATTATTCGCGAATACGAGGCCACGAACAACAGTCACGGGCCAAATCATAATACTTGGCTATGACTAGTCCAAATTTCATCATACAAGGAACCAGAAAGGGCCAAATCGCATTGCACCGCTTTGATTATTCCCCACATTCTGTGGGGTTCTAATTGTTAGATGTGCCGTCGCCCGCGCCCCGACCGCGTGCTCTTCCGTCGCGCAAACATTTGGTACGCGCTCATGTTCGTTCAAAAATCGCACTCTCACTCGAGACATCCTCAACAAATCGGCGTGTTTTATCGATATTCAATCAACAAAATACAAGCCCTCGCCTTTAAAGTGCTGTTGGTAGGGGGTTCGATTACCGAACTGGTCGCGCTTCTGATTGTTGAAAATCGCGCTCCCGCGCGAGACATCCTCAAAATTTCACGTTGTTCCAGACTTTATAAATTATCAAAAATTGCCTCCCGCGCGAGACAATTCGATTTTTTGTTGACGTTTAGATGATGTTTCGTATCTTTAAAAATTGCGCTCCCGCTCGAGACATCCTCGGAATTTCGTCGATTTATCTTCATCAAAATCGATCAAAATTGCGCTCCCGTGCGGAGCATTCGGAAAATTTTGATCATTTATGAACGATGATGTCGAGGGTTTCTATACCAATCCTATACCAAACGAACGTCGTTCGAGG